TTTCTTGAGTGGTAACAGCTAATTTAGACCCCATCGTTTTATATGTATAGTTGGGATTATGTTTCTCAGTGTCCATTACTTTGCATTTATCAACATTGAATTTCATCTGCCACTTTGTTGCCCAGTCACGCAATTTTGTGAGATCCTTTTGTAGCTCTTCGCAGTCTGACTGGGATTTAACTATCTTGATTAGTTTTGTATCATCTGCAAATTTGCCACCTCACTGTTTACCCCTTTTTCCAGATCATTTCTGAATATGTTGAATAGGACTGGTCCCCATACAGACCCCTGCAGGACACCACTATTTACCTCTCTCCATTCTGAAAACTGACCATTTATTCCTACCCTTTGTTTCCTATCTTTTAACCAGTTACCGATCTATGAAAGGACCTTCCCTCTTTTCCCATGACAGCTTACTTTGCTTAAGAGCCTTTGGTGAGGGACCTTGTCAAAGGTTTTTTGAAAATCTAAGTACACTATATCTACTGGATCCCCCTTGTCCACATGCTTGTTGACCCCCTTAAAGAATTCTATTAGATTGGTGAGGCATGATTTCCCTTTACAAAAACCATGTTGACTATTCCCCCAACAAATTATGTTCATCTATGTGTCTGACAATATTATTCTTTACTATAGTTTCAACCAGTTTGTCTGGTACTGAAGTCAGGTGTACTGGCCTGTAATTGCTGAGATCACCTCTGGAGGCCCTTTTTTAAAAATTGGCATCACATTAGCTATCCTCCAGTCATTTGGTACAAAAGCTGATTTAAATGATAGGTTACAAACTACAGTTAGTAGTTCTGCAATTTCATATTTGAGTTCCTTCAGAACTCTTGGGTGAATACCATCTAGTCCTGGTGACTTATTACTGTTTAGTTTATCAATTTGTTCCAAAACCACCTCTAATGACACCTCAATCTGGGACAGTTCCTCAGATTTGTCACCTAAAAAGAATGGCCCAGGTTTGGGAATCTCCCTCACATCCTCAGCCATGAAGACTGATGGAAAGAATTAATTTAGTTTCTCCTCAATGGCCTTATTGTCCTTGAATGCTCCTTTAGCATCTCTACCGTCCCATGGTCCCACTGGTTGTTTAGCAGGCTTCTTGCTTCTGATGTACTTAAATAATTTTTTTTTTTTTTTTTGAGTCTTTGGCTAGTTGTTCTTCAAATTCTTTTTTGGCCTTCCTAATTATATTTTTACACTTCACTTGCCAGAGTTTATGCTCCTTTCTGTTTTCTTTACTAAGATTTAACTTCCACTTTTTAAAGGATGCCTTTTTGTCTCTCACTGCTTCTTTTACTTTGTTTAGCCGCGGTGGCAATTTTTTTGGTTCTCTTACTATGTTTTTTAATTTGGGGTATACATTTAAATTGAGTCTCTATTATGGTGTCTTGCAGCTTGCAGAGATTTCACTTTTGGCACTGTACCTTTTTAATTTCTGTTTCACTAACTCCCTCATTTTTGTGTAGTCACCCTTTCTGAAATTAAATGCTACCATGTTGGGCTGCTGTGGTGTTTTCCCCACCACAGGGATGTTAAATTTAATTATATTATGGTCACTGTTACCAAGCGGTCCAGCTATATTCACCTCTTGGACCAGATCCTGTGATCCATTTAGGACTAAATCAAGAATTGTCTTTCCTCTTGTGGGTTCCAGGACTAGCTGCTCCAAGAAGCAATCATTTAAGGTGTCAAGAAACTTTATCTCTGCATCCCGTCCTGAGGTGACATGTACCCAGTCAATATGGGGATAGTTGAAACCCCCCATTATTATTGAGTTTTTATTTTTATAGCCGCTTGAATGTCTCTGGTCAGGTGGTTGGTAATATATCCCTACTGCTATATTCTTGTTGTTTGAGCATGGAATTACTATCCATAGAGATTCTATGATACAGTTTGGTTCACTTAAGACTTTTACTTCATTTGATTCTATGCTTTCTTTCACATATAGTGCCACTCCCCCACCAGCATAACCTGTTCTGTCCTTCAGATATATTTTGTACCCTGGAATTACTGTGTCCCACTGATTATCATCATTCCACCAAGTTTCTGTGAAGCCTATTATATCGATATCCTCATTTAATATGAGGCACTCTAGTTCACCCATCTTATTATTTAGACTTCTAGCATTTGTATATAAGCACTTTAAAAACTTGACATTTTTAGCCGTCTGCCATTACATGATGTAATTGGGACTCTTTTTTTTTTTTTTTCCCCCTCTTTTTCATTTGACTGTTTCTCATTAGATCCTACTTGTATTTTATCATCTTGCATCCTCTCCTCCTTACTAGGACATAGAGAATCTCCATTAATAGATCCTCCCCCAAGGGATGTCTCTTTCCGAACCACATGCTCCTCCACATCTGTCGGCTTTCCCCCAGCCCTTAGTTGAAAAACTGCTCTATGACCTTTTTAATTTTACGTGCCAGTAATCGGGTTCCATTTTGGTTTAGGTGGAGCCCATCCTTCTTGTATAGGCTCCCCCTTTCCCAAAAGTTTCCCCAGTTTCTAATAAATCTAAACCCCTCCTCCCTACAGCATTGTCTCATCCATGCATTGAGACCCTGCAGTTCTGCCTGTCCAAGTAGCCCTGCACATAGAATTGGAAGCATTTCAGAAAATGCTACCATGGAGGTCCTGGACTTCAATCTCTTACCTAGCAGCCTAAATTTGGCCTACAGGACCTCTCTCCTATCCTTCCCTATGTCATTGGTACCTACGTGTACCACGACTACCGGCTCCTCCCCAGCATTACACATAAGTCTATCTAGATGTCTTGAGAGATCCGCAACCTTCGCACCAGGTAGACAAGTCACCATGCAGTTCTCCTGGTCATTGCAAACCCAGCTGTCTATGTTTCTAATAATCGAATCACCATAACTATTGCCTGTCTCTTCCCAATAACTGGAGTTCCCTCCCCCGGAGAGGTATCCTCAGTGTGTGAGGATAGCACATCATCATCTTGAAGGAGGGTCTCAACTATGGCATTGTTTCCCTCTGCTCCAGTTGGATGTTTTCCTTCCCTGAGACTTTTATCCTCCTCAACAGCACAGTCAGACCAAGGGTGGGACCATTCTTCTGTGTCCCAGAAAGTCTCATCTATGTACCTCTGTCTCCCTTAGCTCCTCCAGTTCAGCCACTCTGGTCTCCAAATCCCATACATGGTCTCGGAGGGCCAGGAGCTCCTTGCATTGAATGCACACTTATGCCACCTGCCCATAGGGCAGATAATCATACGTGCTGCACTGGGTGCAATAACCTGGATAGCCCCCACTCTGTTGCTGGACTTCTGCCTGCATTCTCTATTTACTCCTGAAGCTCCTTCCTTTGTTGTTGTTTTGTTTTTATCAGAGGGTGATTGGCTGTAAGTTTAAAGAATGTTAAGTGTATCGAGCCCTTCCTCACACTCTCACAAAACTCCCCTGTTAGTTGCTCCTGTTCACTAGCTCCTCTGGCTGCTTAGGAGCAGGCTTTTTAAAGCTCTGGTCTCCCTGAGTAGCCCCGCCCCCTGGTTAAGGGTTGATGGGTGCTAAAGGCCTTAGGGATCAAAGCCTCGTTAAGAAGCTCTCAGCTTTGCCTAGCAAGCCGCTAGGCTCAGCACATAGTCCCTCAAGCAAACAGACTACACCGTATGAGAATGAGTGGATAGGGTGCAGGCCAGAGAGCATAGGTGCTGGAGTTGGGGGTGCTGCCATACCCTCTGGCTTTAAGTGGTTTCCATTACATCCAGGGTTTACAGTTTGGGTCAATGGCTCTCCGCACTCCCACTATACAGATTGTTCCAGCGCCCTTGCCAGGGAGTCAGGAGACCTGGTTTCTTGTACTAGCTCTGTCACTGGCTGTGCAGCCTTTAGCACACCTTTGAACCTTTTTACCCTCCCACCATCTGTCTGTTTACATTTTACAATCTTCAGGGAAGGGACTGCCTGATAGTTTCAGCTGTCCAACACAATGGGGATTGTACTTCTAGATGCTCCTGTAACAGAAGTACCTAGAGGTGCTTCTAATTGGTGCAAAGTACTGTATCCGCATTTACATTTAAGCTTGCTTTGCTGTCAAAAGAGGGGTGTGTGCGCTACTGTGGGATAACACCTGTTAGCTATTCCACTGCAATGGCTTGTCTACACGTGGGGTTGTTCCTGAGTAACTCCATATGTGGACTCTTATCTGAAATAAAAGTACTTTGTTCTCATTGCTGTTTAGCTTAACCCACTGGAACCAGGTGTTCTTACTCCAGATAAGTGTCCACACATACTGTTACTCAAGAACTACCCTATGTGTAGACAAGCCCTAAAATCCTAGTGGAGACAAGGCACTTGTAGTGTTTACAGTGACCTCAACCACAGGCAGAGGTATAGGGCTGACCTCACCTAACTACCACACAGAGAAACTGCCTGTGCCTTGTCTCCACAAGGATTTTAGTGGGTTAATTTCCCACGGTAAAAATGCACCTTTTTTGCAGCAAAGAGGAAGCCTTGGAGAGGGGTTTCTTTTATAATTTCATCATTTTAATTCTTCAGAATAATGGTATCCACTGACTCCAGATACAGTTGCAAACTCTCCTTTCCCTTCTTCCAACCAACACATCTTTTGAAGTGCCTTATACCAAGCAAGTCTGCTTGAGTAGCATTATGAAGCACAAATCCATCCGTCACACACCGATGGTAGGCCTTCCATCAGTCACTTCTCACCCTCCTTTTTGGGAGTTGAAATATGCAGCTAATGCTCTGTTACCTCCTTTTTTCCAGGCTTCTGTTCTCTTCCCTGTCTGGGAGATCTGATTCTTGGCTGGACTAGCTCAGCAGTCAGGGGCGGCAACTGGAGGTCCTGAAGCTGGCAACCTTGGGTGGATGGGAAGAAGGGAGGCCTGTTAGAACATTAATTAGTTGTGTGTGGAGGGGGGGGGTGTGGTTCCAACGGAGAGAGCTGATGGGCCAAATGACATTTTACAGGTATAACAACTCTTTTTTTATTATTATTATTTTATTTTGTTTCAGGTGGTTAAGACAATAGGCTTGCGTGAAGTATGGTACTTTGGTCTTCAGTATATGGACAACAAAGGATTTCCGACTTGGCTGAAACTTGATAAAAAGGTAATTGCTGTTTTGGGTTAAATATTGAAAAGAGGCTAACTTTTGGTGTACGAGTCATGTTGTGATATCAATTGCTGATGTCAGTCCTGGAGATGCTGCTGCTAATTTCCTACAGCTCCTTGTTTGTGGTTTTTTTTTTTTTTAAGAGAACCAGCTGACTTAGGGTGGCAGGAATCCTGTGAACAATGGTCTAGCAAACTGGAGGTTCACTCCCATCCCTGTGCATGCATATTGGCAGTCTGTGGTGTATACATGTGATAGAGCTGTTTGCAATCACTTTAGCAGGGTGTACCTTGAGTCTAGCCCCAGCACATTAGGGCTTGCCACAAAATAAGCAACTATTTTTATTTCTCTTAGTGGAACCTGCTAATTTATGGTGCTGAATCTTTCATGCTAGTAGAGAAGTAGTTGCCAGGCTCATTAGAATAGATGGTTCATTTCTAGATTTTAAAAAGTGTTATGCTGGAATTTAATGTACTCTTCGTTCAGTGGTTTTCAGATGTCTTGGATTAAGATGAGCCCTTGGTGAGCAGACAGATTATTCCACATCTGCCAACTGTGAAGTTTCTTGTACCTTTCTCTGAGGTGTCTGGTGCTGGTCACTAAACTGGACAGATCACTGGTCTGACCCAGTATGGCAATTCTTGTATTCCTGTGTTCCTGAATATACAGAGTTTATTGTGGCAGTCTCTGCTCCCATATTATCAGGGACTGCGGGTCTTAAACCCTGGTCCACTGGGCTCTTAAGAGCTAGTAAATTCCAACCTGCTATCTGGGGACCGGCGAACAGTTGCTGGGATAGAAGCTGAACCCGAACAGAGGACTCCAGTCCTGGACTCTGACAGAATGCCGGGAGTCCTGATCAGTTCATCGCTTCTCTGTAAACCCAGCATAGGAACAGGAAGTTGTCCATGCAACTGGGTTCTCCAGGAGGTCAGACTGTGCACTTCTCAGTCGTGACACATTTATGGAAACTACAGCAAATGTTTTTTTGAGTATTTTTCCACATAAGATGCATAAAGAGTATTAAAGTTTTCATGCTGTTTAGCAGCTGGGAGTAAGGAGGAGAGCCAGCACTCTGAAGCAATGGACTGATCACATGGAACACCCGCGGTTCCATGGGCCATAGTTTGGGATGGTCTTCTGTTTCTTGCTTAAAATGTAAACAGAACTTCGTTTTCCTTCTAGTCTCTCTCTCCTCCCCCCTCCCCCCCAACAAAACCATCTGGCATGGAGTATAGATCAGTCTGAGGTATTTGTTTCCCTTTGAAATAGTATCCATTTGCCCCCACTATGTAGTGAAAGGAGTTGATAGGGAGTGTTAGAAGGATACTGTCTTTGCCTTTTTTCTTGTAACTAAACAGGCTGCTCTTTGGATTAACTGTATGTTAAATTTTGTGCTATCGTAGGAGTGATCCTACAATGAATGCCTCATGGGTGGACCCTGGCACTTACACAGGTGCACATGGATTTGAAAGGGATCCCATGCTGGTGCAGGAATTTGTTGCAGAGTTGGGCCATATTGACAGTAAATTCCTGAAGTAATCTTGTCTGTAAACCTGTACTAGAACACCCCCAAAACCCTTTTCTTTGTGAAAGAAACATCTCCTATTGTCAGTTAGCCATCTGCTCAGTTTTTGGGTCTGTGTGTTTGTTTTGTCTCAGGTCTCTGCTCAGGAAGTCAAAAAGGAAAATCCCCTCCAGTTCAAATTCCGTGCCAAGTTCTTCCCTGAAGATGTGTCTGAGGAGCTGATCCAGGACATCACCCAGAAGCTGTTCTTCCTGCAAGTGAAGGAAGGGATCCTCAGCGATGAGATCTACTGCCCACCTGAAACAGCAGTTCTTCTTGGCTCGTATGCTGTGCAAGCCAAATTTGGAGACTACAATAAAGAATTACACAAGTCTGGGTACCTCAATTCAGAACGCCTGATCCCTCAACGGTGAGTGCTTTAAAATAAAAGGGTAAAGCTGCCCTGAGTCTTCCAGTGTATTCCAGTTATTTGAACTCCCTCAAAAAATGGTATGATCAGAAGGCATGACACTTCAAAAGTTAAAGCCTCTGCATCTCATTGTCCTCTGTTCCATCCAGGCTGCATGCGCACGACTGGAGAGCACTACTCAATACTTCCTTTCATCAGAAAATAGATAAAGGAATATTTTTACTTCTTTCAGTTAGAGTTTGGATCCCCCTCTCCCCCAAAGCCTAAGCACTAGCAACTGTTAGCAGGTTTTGAGTGGGGAACAGCAGATTGCCATTATGAACATCCCTGCCCCTGGAGAAGTTCTGTTTGCACATCGTTAATTTTTAAAATCAAATTATCCCAATGACACACTCTCCAGCTGCAGAAATGAACTTCTTTTTTTAACTCACTCCTCCAACTGTCTCAGTGGTGTGCGTTTTTCTTTCCATAAACTGTTCCACTTGGTCCAGGGGTCATGTGTTCTACCTTCATGCCCTTGTGGAATGAGACTGTGGCCTTGGTCAATGACAGCCAGGGGTTCTTGCTGGAGAGAGATGGGCAATTATCTACGTTCCACTTCATGAACTAGTCCTTCTCCCAAAGGCATTTGTTCCTGGCTGAGGGGGGTGGGGTGGGGGGCATTTAGGCTTTTTGTGAGGTTCATTTCAGCAGCACACGTGCACTTCCTGTAGAGGGATACCAATTTTGTTCAGAAATGCTACAGCAGTAATCTTAAAACAGCTTTATCTGCAGATCACAAGAGTGGGGGAATAGTGTGACATAAATATAAATGCATAGCAAAGTTAAATATTGCAACTATATGCAGCAGAACAAGTAACCTAATACTTCTAACTTCCTTCCATGTATCAGAGTAATGGACCAGCACAAACTATCCAGAGAGCAGTGGGAAGAACGGATTCAGGTCTGGCATGCTGAACATGGTGGAATGCTCAAGTGAGTACCTCTATTGGGCTATATCTAGGTCATCTTGATTTGTTCTGTTAATCTCCTTAAGCATGTAGTTTTATTACGTATTTTTAAAGTGGAATCTCAAAGTAATTGGACCTGGAAATAGCTAACACTTATTTTGCAATCCAGCATGGAATAACATGAAAATTCAGTAGAATTGGAAACCAGTTTTGTAAAGTGTACTGCAGCCAAGCTCAATGCATTTCCAGTCCGATTAACAAACCTGTAGGTCGGCATTGACTACTCTGATGTTCATAAAAGTTAAGATGACATGAATGCTGGCACACATGGAGAAGACCTCAGTGAATGAATACAATCTTCTGAAACATTCATGTCGAAGGCTTATTGAAAGTGCCTTTAAAACAAAATAGTTAGGCTTGTAGAATGGAAAGTCAGGTGTTACATTCTTCCATTGTCCACATGTTTGTTGGTTGTCCCCTACCCCACACCATGACAGATGAATGCTACTTACTGAGAAGTCATGATTTAGGGTTTAACTAAACAAGAATATTTTATTCTGTTCAATAATAAACTAAAACACATTCAGGACTTCTCCTGAGCCCAAGCATCAGAACTGGAGTTAAGAGCAAACTGTCTGTCCCAGAAGCAACTCCTCTTGTTTTCCCACTTGCACAGATGTTTCTTCCACTAGCTTTGGCTTGTAATTTTGAAGGAGTTGGTTATCTTATGTATATATTTATATCTTTTTTTTTTTCCTTCCCACCTCAACCAGAGAGAATGCAATGCTGGAATATCTAAAGATTGCCCAAGACTTGGAGATGTATGGAATCAACTACTTTGAAATCAAGAATAAGAAAGGAACGGACTTGTGGCTGGGAGTAGATGCACTGGGCCTGAATATTTATGAGAAGGATGATAAGTAAGTAAGTGTGTGTGTGTGTGTGTGTGTGTGGTGTGTGCCTGATCCCTCCAAAGGACAATGGGCTGGTGCTGGAGCCCAAAGAACTTTAAATTAGTAAAATTAGTGCTTGCTTGGTGAATGTCACCTAAGTTTGGATAGCCACGGGGTAAAGTTTGTGTTGGGAGGCAGGGCAAGGCTTGTACTTTACGTGAATCCTGATTTGCATCTTCTTTCCCTCACAATGTGACTGCTTTCCTCTTAGGCTATGCACCAGCATGTAGGAAACTTGAAATTATGTTTATAACAGCTCTTTAAATGTAGTGCATGAAATCATGGTACTAAATTGCCAGCACTGTTAACTTCCATTTCCGCATACGGCTGTAAAATCAGGCCCTAAAGAATTATTTTAGGGAAATATCAACATTGTCCAAAATTAGGGGATCAGACACCACAGTAGTGGTTGCAGCGTAAGAATCTAGAGACCAGATTCTCATTATGCACTCCCAGGAACTGCCTTTTTCAGGGATGAGTGTTAAACACAGTTGCCAATAATATAAGAGCTAATTAGAGTAAATTTTTTTAGTGTGTCCGTAGTTGCAACCAATCCTTTCAGTAGTTGTGGGCTCACTAATAATGGAGTAAGAGAGGGGAAAAGAAGGCTGAGAAGCAGGAAGAAGTAGACTGAAGATTAAAGAAGAATAAAGTTTAAAAGGAAAAGAGTCCTGTTTGTGTGTATCTCACTTTGCTGGACTCTAAAAAATGAAGCACAGGCCCAAAGTGCAGCAAGGTGAAATACAAGGAAGTTTGAAATGAAGGATTCTGTGTCAATGACTTAGGCTCCTAGTCTTGGCTTCATTTCTCTGAATTTCTAATGTAAATTATAAGCCCTAATAATAGTAGGGTAGCAACAGGACCGTAGGGGGTGGAGAGTAAGTCTGGGTCTAAAATGACAGTTGAGATGTAACATTAATGGGAACTGTTTGGGATTCCTGTTAGGACTGCAGAGGAAAAGAACGCATTTCTCTTTGCTGTGTTAATGTGTGCCATCACCCAGAAAACAAGGAGTGTCACATGAGATATTACATGAGTGAAACTACCTTTCTTTATTTCTTGAATGACTGGTTTCGCTGTGTAACCATGGTCACACAAACAGGTTTTTCGAGCTGCATAACCAGGCAATATGTAGTCGTGACCTCTGAAAGAGAATTATGTAGAAAAACTTACAAAACAAAACAAAAAGTTAGGCCAAATGCTTTGTTTTGTTCAACTTTTTTGGTACTATGCAATTGGATCTTTTGAGCACATAATGTCAAGACTAGGAAAAACTGTGGTGTACATAAATCAGGACTGGATGCACTGGCAGAGCTTTGGGATTGGGATGGGGGAGGTTGGGGAAAATTTTGCAAATGTTTTGTTTACTGTTGAGTAAGACATTACTACTTATTAAATACAGGAGTCTGCTATATGTCGGTACCTATATTTAAGGGTGAATACCAGTCACCCAAAACTTGATTTCTACTACAGTATTTAAAATGTGGGGTGGGGGAGAGAGAAGACTACCATTATACAGTACTACATCTGGAATTTATTCAACAAGGTATCAGTGCCACCTCAAGTGTACTGTATTACTACATGCTAGTGTTAGATTTCTCATTTAATTTAATATTTTGGAGACTGGAGCAGTTATTGCCAAAACAAAACCTAGGCAAGCAAATTACTGTGTGTGTGTTAAGAAATGCTACATTTTAATAGGTGTTCATTTTACTTTTGCACTGGTTTAAAGGCTGGTGCTGGGAAGTAGGCTTGGGCCCAGTGTTTCTACAATCCTGTGTTTAAATGGTAGGTAGCTTCCACCATTTGATACAAGGCTTGGACGAATTTGCCTTAAGTTGCAAGCTCTTGTTTCTCTGGGCCTCTTTCCTTTCCTTCCCTTCCTCGTGTATAGTGCTTATAATCTTGAAGAAACTCCAGTTATTAGAAGTAGTAACCTGGAGTTGTTAAAACATTAAATATGTCTAATACACTAAAGAGGTTTTTTTCGGTACTTTGATATCTCCATTCAGTCATTGAAACTGTTTGCCATCTTAATGATGGATTACCGCATGCACAGCTCCCTTCCCCCCCCCCCCCCCCCCCATGCAGTGTGCTATAGAATTTGTAAGAATCTGCTGTCCTTTGAGCAAGCACTGGAATTCTGCAAGCTTAATTGCTTCACTTCCACTTTGCTTCATTAAATTGTCAAGATGGAATCTGCTTATTCTCTATGTTAATTAGAACAGAGAAATTAAACTTGTGCTTGTCACTTCATCTAGCTAAAGAGAATTTTACACTGGCCCTTTCTTGTAAAGGGACACTGAGCAGATTTTGGCTCAAAATTTAGACTGCAAAAATAACTTTTTCAAATGCTAATGAAAACTGGTTTTTAAAAACAACTGCACGTACCCCAACAGTGTCTGAACACGGATGTTGCAGTATTGGGCAGACATATGAGAACCTAAAAATGAAATGGACTAGAAACCAATTAGATTTAGTAATTTCTCTTTTGATTTATCTTATTTTTCCAAGCTCAGAAATTCAAAAAGTAGTTGGCATAAATAGTGAAAAGTTAAGATATGGACTTTTTTGTTTTAATAATCTGAAGTCTTTGTATTACTGGGAGGAATTCTTGTTTGTTTAAAATTGACTTTTAGCCTACCAGTTTGTGCTTTAACTGCAGGTCTGTTTTCCAGTGGCAAAGAACTGCATAGGACTGTTAGCATATGAGAGAGCCCATGGTTTAAAGTTCTGCTGTATGACTTTTGGGCAAAGTCCCTTGTGCAGGTTTCAGGCAAGAACAAAACAGAGACTTTTTTGTCTCCCGTCTCTCCAATAATCTGGGGGAGGGAAAGAAATATAAGAGGTGTCTGCTTCCCTTAACTGTCTCTAATAAGCATGCTATGGATTTAGGCCCCAATTCAGAAAATCTTCTTTAAGCATATGATCATGGGACTTAGCCACTTGCTTAAGTGCTGACCTGAATAGGGATACTTTACAGAATATGGACCTTAAAAGATTAAAAATATGTTCTATTGTATATTTTATTAGTCAGAAAATAGATGTAAACTTCTGAGGCTGTATCATGCCAGACAGTGTTTGTTAATAGTTTTGGAAGGGCCCTATATACTTCAGTGCAAGGGGAAAAAAAGTATTACACTTTTTTTTTTTTTTTTTAAGCCAAGATTTTCAAAAACTGGTGCCTAAATTAAGGCTCCTAAGTCCATAGTTAGATACCTAAATAAAGGAGCCTGGCAGTCAAACGTGCTGAGAACACAACAGATCTTGCAGTAGTCAAATGGAGCTGTGGGGCCTGAGCACTTCTGAAATTCAAGCGCACACACTCTTGCATTTAATGGCCACAATGTCACTAGGCTGGTTACTTTGAATTAGGAAAGGGAGAGCCGCTGAGTTTGATAAGGGATGTTGAGGGACATATCTTCCCATGGGCAGGAGCAAACGTTTTTCTCGTGTTTTATTTAGTATTTCAAGTTGTCTAGTCTGTTTTAGAGCATGTGGCTCAGGGCCCCCCTGCAGAGGAGTGAAGTAATGGCACATTGTTTCAAATTCTGGAAAGAAGATCAATTAATCACACATCTTGTCATTTTGTTTGTGTCTTGGCTTCTTTTAAAACCTGTCTTTGTTTTCAGATTGACCCCAAAGATTGGCTTTCCCTGGAGTGAAATCAGAAACATCTCTTTCAATGACAAAAAGTTTGTTATAAAACCTATTGACAAGAAGGCACCTGTAAGTACATCTAGAATGAACTCTTGCATATCCTGTTTAGATTGTTAAATACTTTTCATCTCCATGCCATACAATACAGTTCTTGTACTCCTTTATAAAAACTTGCTCATTGCATCAGAAACAGTATATACTACCACAGAGTATTCATCAAATATTTCTGCCTATAACTAAGGCTGCAATTCTGTCGCGGAGGTTGCGGAAGTCACAGATTCCGTGACTTTCCACGACCTCTGTGACTTCCGCAGCAGCCGGTGCGGCTGACCCCGGGGCCAGCTGCTGCTCGGGCGGCCCTAAGCTGCACTGGCTCTGGAGAGCACCCAAGCAGCAGCTGACTGTAACGGTTCATCTTAGAAAAGAGACGACTAAGGGGGAATATGATAACGGCCTATAAAATCACAAATGGTGTGGAGCAGGTGAATAGGGAAGTGTTATTTACCCCTTCATGAAACACAAGAACCCGGGGTCACCCAATTAAATTAATAGGCCACTGGTTTAAAACTGACATAAGGAAGTACATTTTCACACAATGCGCAGTCAACCTGTGGAACTTGTTGCCAGGGGATGTTGTGAAGTCTAAAAGTATAACTGGGTTCAAAAAAGAATTAGATAAGTTCATGGAGTATAGGTCCATCAATGCTATTAGCCAAGATGGTCAGGGATACAACTCCATACTCTGGGTGTCCCTAAACTGTTGACTGCCAGAAGCTGGGACTGGACGATGGGATGGATCACTCTAACTGCCCTGTTCTGTTCATTCCCTCTGAAGCACCTGGCAGTGGCTCTGTCAGAAGACAGGATACTGGGCTAGATGGATCTTTGGTCTGACCCAGTATGGCCTCCCTTATGTTATGTTCTAAGGGGGTTGGAGTGCAAAACAACACTTCAGAATTATAGAAACCTTCTTTGTCTTGCTATACCCCACATACCACCATCCAAACCACTCACCACTGCCCCACCAAAAAAATATTCTCTACAATTCTATCTCGCGCTCATATCCGAGGTACTTTCAAAGGTGAGGTCTGAGTTACCTCTTCATAGACAAATAACTTTTGAGTTGTTTAAAAAAAAAAAAAAAATCTTCCAGGGCTTCTCTCTCACTTCTCAGAACACCTGGAGTTGCTGGATAATTGTTTTTCTATTAAAGGCTTCTTGTGATGCTACTCTAAAACTGAACATGCATAGCATTCTTACTAAGGGTCTCAGGAGTGCGTCACTCCAAAAGTGCACATCACACACCAGATCATTGCATATTTTGACTTCTGAAACTTCACAATTGTTTGGAGACAGATTAGGGGGCAAATCGCATTGGAATTCTGATTCCAAGAAAGGAGCAGAGTCTCTTAAATGAGCTTCTACACTTTTTAGGGTATGGAGAAGCAAGGACACAGATACCTGAAAAGAGGTAATTTAAATACAGTACCTGTGTGTTTAAAATACACCATGAGCATGTTTTCCCAGGTAACTGTAGTGAATTTACCAATATCACTATCCATTATCAAACCATGAAGAGTGGAATAACAGGAATAGGTGAGGCTTGTTCTGACAGTCCTGTCAGCTGTTGGAGCAGGAGAAAAGGGCATGCTCTTGCAGTAGATCATCTATTAACAAGGCGTGGGGAAAACGCAGCTTTTAGAAACAGTCAGTTTGGTTTTGGTAGGGCTTTTTGAGAAAATGGTGGCTATGGAGTTAAAAGCAACTGACTCAACAAACTGTTTAAATAACGAACAGCAGAATATTGAAAAACTGTCGGTGTGAAATCCATCCTTTTTCTTAGAAACAAATCTGTTTTATAATGTAATTCATGGCAACCACCAAAACACTGCCCGACAGTAAAGGTTCACCTTCCTGTACATGCTGGACTTCTCGGTAGGAAAGCCCTTTTGTGATCTCACTCATGCTTCATGCTGAGTACAAAATGTTAATCTCCTGTTTGTGATTCAAGGACACAGCTTTCCACCCACTCTCCAGCTGCAAATCTGAATGCATTTAAAATGGAAACTTGCAAGAGATTAATACAGTGAAGCTGTTACTATTGAAAACACCTATTATGTCTGTTCCGTTTGGTTTGGAGTGCCTTGTATGCTCTAGATGCTTCTTGTATTCAAACTTCGCTACAAAAAAGAGAAGCAGAGGTCTAGTTTTTTCTGGACACAAGTTTTGAGTTTCCAAAGGCAAACTTTAAAAACAAACCAACAAAAACAACAACCCAGCCCTGGGTACCTACTAGTAGAATCCCCAAAGTAAAAATAGATTGCCATTTTTTCTCTTTATATTGACAAGGCTTTAAGTTTACTAGGAGCAGAGTCTGACTCCTGAGGCACCTAGTGCTGTGGAGATTCTTTTTGAGTCTATGTGCCACTGATACTGAATAGAGATGGAAGATTTTGCTGGGGGTATCAAAATACCAAGTGAGAATGCACATCTTCATCTCAAACCAGGGTAGGGTGGGCCTGAGTTCTTCTGTGCCTCTGATTATAATGTTCACCGCAAAACTCCTGTGTTCTTACATTAATTCTTTTCCCCTTAGTTACGAGGCTATAGATGACAAACGTGGGCTACCATCCGTGACTTTAGTATTTACCTTCTTGGAGTTAGACATTGCTTAGAGATGGAGGCCATACCTGCATACAATACACATAGCTGTTTGGCTTTTTTTGAACGTTTGCCATAAGTGGAAGCATAATGAATAATTTACAGCTGTAGACCGTATCAGGCATGCCAAAGACATTGTGATCTGAATAGTTAGAAAAACCAAACAGACCACCTTGGTTGACTGCAAAGTCTGCATCCTTCAGAGTTGGTATGTGAATAGAATCATAATGGAGGGTTTGTGCTGAAGAGAACTTATCCTTGCCAGCAGGTTCTCGCTGAATTTGGAGTTAGGAGCATTTTTCATTATTTCTGGAGTCATTTCCAGTGTTAGTCATAGGTCCAAAATACCTTCTGAACTCCAGGTGTAATTGAAATGTTTGGAGTGGCAGTCATTGATGTCTGAGACCCATTCTCTGTAAATGCACAGCTCTGATTCTTCTTGTGAAAATTCCATCTCATATGAACTATGAGGCACTCCACAGGAGGGCATTTCTAAGGGATTAGTGCATTTCCCAGGCGACTTTGTCATTTTATCTGTTGGTCTGTCTTATCACCCTATGCAAAGCATGCTGTAATAGCAGAAATGCAATGCTTTATTTATTGAATAATCAGTGTTTCTTGAGTTCAAAGCCTTACTGAATCTATAATTGTTCATACACTTAAAAAGCTATCTGGCCCAGTAACAGATGAAGAATTCTATGGCTTTGGGCATAGCCTTACTGAAGAATTTACTTTTACCTGTTTACTTTACCTACAGAGAGAATGAGTTTTGTTCTAATAAATGGATTGTTGTTTGATGCAACTTGGTTGATTGGATTTTGTTCCATTCTTGTTAACTCAGAAACCTTTCCCTGTTCTTTAACTCTGTTGGTTATCAGTGCTGCATGTAACCCAATACCCAAAGCATTACTCATGTGGTGGTGGCAGCTGGGGAGGGTGATAGAGTAGCTCACTTATGCTCAACTAATGCTCAGAGCTCTGATCACAGCACAAATCTTCTTAAAAATGCCACCAAGAGGCAAAGACAACAATGCAGATGTCATGAATGCAGAAATCTTGCTCCTGTAAAAACTCCCAAAGTTATTTTTGGCTAAGTAGCAAAAGGAATGAGGAGTCTCCCATCTTCATTCTAGAGGAAGGAATTAAGGTGTTTCTCCTCTCCTTTCCCCCAATCATCTAGGAGGAAGGGCTGCATGAATGCTTGATGGTGGCAGTCCCTCAATGGCCACTTCAGAAGTGGCTATGGACAGTCATTTGTCAAAGTGGTGGTTCCATTAGTGTGTAGCTACACTCAGCCATGTTCTATATTTTGCACCTATGTAGAGATACCATTGCTGGGACTCCCAGCAAATATTGATACAACTATTGTGGCTGGACTCTCCAGCACAGGAGACTGTCTGTGACATAGCTTGCATAGCTACAAACATTACTAAGATGCTACATATCTTACTTCAGAGTATAACCTAATCACCTTCAAGGGGCAGGAGGGAATCTGTCTTCTCACCCTTCTAACCGTCCCTTCCTCCTGAACCATCCCGACCCTCTGAAAAGTATCTCATGGTACGATTGGCTGAGGGTGCTGACAATTCTTCATCTTTGTCTGAAGAAAGAGATAGTAGCAGGTTCTAAGACACTGAATTAGAGGGATCAGTGATATGACCTAAGACTGTAAATCCTTGTGGTATTTTTTAATATATTAATCATATACTATTACGTTTCAGGCCTCCTTAGGTCTTATTTCCATTCATAAGACGACCTTGCCCACTTTGTATACAAGTGAATAACACCGTAATCACACATTGTCATATCTTGTGTAATAAATAGAGGTGGGTGGGTTACATGGCTGCTTAGATATCCTCCCAAAAAAATCTGATTGACTTTCCAAGTGTTTCAAACCTTAGGAAGCTCCTTCTGTACTACTGTCACTCTTGAATCGAGGTATTTATGGGAGTGTTGTTACAGTCACTGGATATACATAATTGAAAATGCAGCTGCTATTAATATATAAATGCCTGTGCATGTCTTTGGATTGCAGTAGGACAGTGGCCATGTGATTGGTCTGCCTACAATAAGTTAGAAGTGCTTTATCTCCTTCCATAGGAAACCATTGCCTCAGGGACTGAATTCCATTGTTCTGCCTCTCTTCTCTAGGACTTTGTGTTTTATGCACCTCGTCTAAGAATTAACAAGAGGATCCTGCAGCTGTGCATGGGTAACCATGAGCTGTACATGCGCCGCAGGAAGCCTGACACCATTGAGGTCCAACAGATGAAAGCCCAGGCCCGTGAGGAGAAACACCAGAAACAGTTGGAGAGGTGAGCTGAACTGGACAGAGGAGGGTGAGAGCTCAGGGGGAATGTGGGTGACCTGAACGGAAGCAAATTGGCAGGATTAAACATTTTAGTTGTGAGACAGCTGAACTGTAGCCAATAGGGTGGGGTTGCACCAAAGCAGGAGGTGAACCATTCAGACACTGAGGGCTACTGCCCTCATCCCACCTTAGCCAGAGGGGAGTATCTGGCCCTGGATTCTAACTTCTAACAGAGAGGGTATTGACTAAAGGGAGAAGAAACAATTCAAAAGAACGTAGGACTTGCCAGACTGGCTCAGACATGAAGTCCGCATGCCAGTATCCTATCTGACAGTGGTCAGTACCAGATGCTTGTCAGGAAAGTACAAGAAACTACATAGTGGGCAGTTAGAGAATAACCTACCCACAGACAAATTTCCTCCTACCCCCATTTGTTGGCTTCTGCCCTGGAGCATGAGTATTTATATCCATTAAAGTCTTTGTGTATCTAATGTAACTGTAGGTATTCTTCTTATTCACATGGATTTCTAATCCCTTCCTTGAATTCTGCTTACATTTTGGCCTCAATGAACACTAGAGGCAAATAGGTCTGGCGGTTGATTGTCTTGTAGGAAAAGTGTTCCCTTCTGTCAGTTTTTAAATTTGTTGTCTTTTATCTTATATTATGAGAGGATATATAGGAACATGTGATTTGCCTATGCCTGTTACTTCTAGCAGGTCTTTTGTTTAACTCTGCTCTACACTAAATGGTACCAATCTTCTCAATGGTTCTCCGTCTCTGGAAGTATTTACATGCCTCTGATCATTTTTAGAGAGACAAGGTGGGAGAGATCTGTTATTTGACCATCTTCTGTTGGTGAAACAAGCCTTCAAACTTACCCAGAGCGCTTCTTCAGGTCCTCGAAAGCTTGTCTCTCTCACCCACCTTGTGTCTCTAATATCCTGAGACTGACACAGGTACAACTACATTGCATCGATTGTTTTTGTCAGCTGTCTGTGAATCCTTCTTTATGCAATGGGGTATCCAACACTCAACACAGTGCTCCTGGGTAGGATGTAGCATTGACTTGGAAAAGAAAGATGGAAAGTATATAACTTATCCCATTCCTTAGTAGTAGTGATAGTATTACCTGGTTATGGGCCAGGACCCATTGTGCTAGGTGCTGTACAAACACAGAACAAAGACAGTTCCCACCCCCAAGAGCCCCCTAACATAGTTTTTGACTGCCATTCACCAGAGGTTTTCACTGAGCTTCCTACAGAGATGCCGAGGCCTCCTTCAGCATGCATGCAGTTCAATGGAGCAAGCAAACTCCTACCTTCCTAGGTTCTAAACTTGTTATTTCTCTCTAACAGGCAACAGTTAGAAAGTGAAAAGAAGAAGAGAGAGACCATTGAAAAAGAGAAGGAACAGATGTTGAGGGAGAAAGAGGAGCTGATGTTGAGACTGCAAGAGTATGAACTAAAGACCAAGAAGGCTGAGAAAGGTAAAGGGCTTGCACTGGTCAGCAGGCAGGGTACAGGTGATACCACACATTGGGCTTTACCCTTCTACTTGACAGCTGCCCTTATCCTAAACGCTTCCATCTTGTGACACTTTGATCTGCTGCACAAAACGGGCTTCTACCAGTGCGTCTGTGCGCCTGTGTAAATACAGGGACAGTGAAATCTTTCCTTTTCAGTGCAGTGATCACCAGCTATTGTATAGAGAAAGTAGATGTCATGTGACCTTTATTTTTTGGTCTGGAAACTGAGGTTTAAAACTGAACGTTCGCTTTCCCATAGGAGGAAAGTGTAATATGGCCACTTCCATCAGTGACTGACTCAAACATTTCTCACTCAAGTAGCTTTTAATGGTCCCTCCCATAACTCCCCTGCCAGGACACCTGATGCTTTAACATGACATCAGTGAAATTGGAGTCTGTGTCCTCCCTACCTCCAATGTGTAGAGAAATATGGAGGACCAGAAGCAGCAACATCCAGTCCTACTCCATAAACTGGTATTCTAAGACTTTGGAATTGCCATGTTTTCCTCAATATGGAGTAAAACCCACAATTAGACTCTTATTGCCTACATTCTGTAAAGGGAATATTACCTAGAACATAAGCTATGGACGTCTTGCGTATGATGTGTCAGGTAACTGCATTTAGACTTGTTCATAAGCCAAGTTGGAGTTTGTGGATAGAAGACTGGAGGGAAGTATTTCTTAGTCTTGTTCCCATGAGCATTTGCACCAGTTTGCAAAACCCCTTTTGTGAAGAGGTTAGTTAAACCCAATGACTTACTGCTTTCCTCTTCCTTTACAGAGCTCTCAGATCAGATCCAAAAAGCTATGCAGCTTGAGGAGGAGAGGAGGCGAGCAGAGAGGGAAGCTGAACGTCTGGAGGCCGAGCGCTTGGCTGCTCTCCAAGCCAAGGAAGAGCTGGAGAAGCAAACTGTTGACCAGATGAAGAGCCAGGAACAGCTGGTAGGAACAATAGGCTTTTTGAGTCTTAGCGTATAAAGCCTTGAATCGTATATTTCAGTTAACGTGGGCTTGTTACTGCATATTTTTTAATGAAGTCCTGCATACAAGGAAATGAACCATTAGGCCAGAGGACACACTGCAGTAGCATAATCATGGACTCAATTTTGACTTGGAAACTTTTCAAATGATATACCAAATAAGTGCAAATTGCCCATAACTTAATGGAGTCTTTATCACAGTGGAGGAATCTATTCACAAAATCATGTAACATTTGGGTCATGTTTCTCATTCACAAAAGCATTATTGAAAGAGCTCCAAATATAATTCTAGCCTTGCTATTCAATAGGCTACAGAACTTGCAGAATATACAGCCAAGATTGCTCTTCTGGAAGAGGCAAGGAAGCGTAAAGAGAATGAGGTTGAAGAATGGCAACACAGGGTGAGTTTCTCTGCTTTCCTAAATTGATCCAGAGCTTTGGTACATTTTACTAATTCAAGTTTAATCTGCTTAGCCTTGTACAACACCACAAAAGAGAATCTTTAGTAAAGCCTTAATGGAAATGCTGAATTTATGAATGTAGCTATTAACTTCCAACCCAAAGTGCAATGTGTAATCTCCCTCCTCCAATAAATCTGACTCTTCTCAAAACTCTAACCAGTGAGCTATATAACAGCTTAGAATGCAATCTTAACTATAGAGTCATGATCGTAATGTATTTGGGCATCTTAGGATACACACGTTTGTGTATGAAAATGTTGAATGAAGGAGAGAGAAACGGACAAAGTGTAACAGCACTAATGTAGTGGTCCCAATAACTTTGTGCTATTGGAAAGTGCCTTCTTTTGTCTTGCCATGGGGAACTGAAGTATTCATAATGGAATGCAGCAGAAGTGAGAGCAAATCTGGAAGATCCTTAAGTGTATAGTTATATTTATGTGCCAACATAAGTTCAACACTATATCTGGAAAACATTTTCTCACTCTTTAGTTTTCTATTTTGTCTTTGCTATTTTGCACCTCTAGGAAAACAACCCTGCAGCATTTTGTTCAAGAATAATTATCATGTAGAGGAAAATGTGTGTTCTTAGAACTTTTTAAACACTGATTAGAGATCTGATAGCAATCCAAAAGTTTAGAGCTGGCTGGGGATATTCTGGATATTTCAAAACTTCAATGAAAACTGCCCAAACTCTTACCAACAGTTTTCCATTTTTTCCCCAGCTACCTTTGAAGTTGAAGCTTGCCACAGTATTACAGCCCCCTTTCTACATTTGCTGGATGCTGAGTTCAGTTTTCCCACAAGACCATAGCTAGCCCTGGGGAGGGAAGAACTGTTTAGCAAGCAAGAAGCCCAATTTCTTGCAATTTACACACCTCTTTAAAGTCCCGCAATTTAGGAATGTCATTTCTCATTGTATGGACTTCCCAGCTAAGGCTGACTAACAGCTTCTTTTTATTTGACAAGTAGTATGTTATAAATATGGATTCCACGTTCCCCTACAATACTAGTAGTTCTTCAGGCATTGTTCTATGTTGGAGGAAGACTCTTGCTTAGTGAAATTATACTGGCCTCATCCACAATCCCAATCAAATTTTGTTTTTTTTAATCTCACTATACAGAAGAGTATATTGAAAGCATTGTCTTCTGTTTAGCAAATATCCAACCACTCTAACATGCCCCTTTCTTTCTCTCCCTTCCCCTTTGGGTGCTACAGTGTGTTCATTGAGCTGGGTTTAAATAAACTTCACATATCTGCTTTTGTGCCCATTTTTTTTGTTTCCACTTTTAAAGGCCAAGGAAGCCCAAGATGACCTAGTGAAGACAAAAGAAGAGCTACATTTGGTAATGACTGCCCCACCTCCACCGCCAGCCCCTGTCTATGAGCCAGTGAATTACCATGTCCACGATAACTTGCATGATGAAGGAACAGAATATTCAGGCTACAGTGCAGAGTTCTCAAGTGAAGGCATCTTGGATGATCGCAATGAAGAGGAACGCACTACTGAAGCAGAGAAGAATCAGCGTGTGCAGCGGCAGTTGATGGTAAGAAAACAAAATTATTGGGAGAAAACTTAAATCTAATGTTGCTGAAAATTGAGCCCTGTTTAAATGCACGGCTCTCCCAAAGTGGTGTATGTAAAATATTAAAGGCTCATCTATATGGAAACTTTGTGTACAGCAAGCAGCGTGTAAATCTGCAGCAAGCTGTGAGGACCCTGCTACTGCACACTAAAAGTTCGTAGTGCACTTTGACCTACTGCTGGGATCTGTACTGTGCGCTGCAGAACTGTTTGTACATGGCAGCAGGGTCCACGTGGCCAGTTAGCGTGCTGCAGGTTTACACCCTGGTTTGCCATGCACTAAATCTCCATGTAGACAAGCCCTACAAGAAGTCTTGAACATAAAGCCATCTGTGCCTGTACTTTAACATGATTGATTTTCATGCAATACATACGGGCTTTTCTTATGACTCAGACAGTAGGGATGCACTGACGCTTCTGGTTCTTTCAAATAGCTAGTGTTCAGTCAGCACATTGTAATACTCAAATGTCCAGATCTCCAGTTCACCCATTTCCTCAGTACTCTTCTGCATCCCAAAGATGTTGTCAAAAGCCTCTAAAACATTTTTAATGCTTGACTCTGGTCAAACTCTTGAGATCCAGGTCTTTCATGTGTGACCCAGATTTGTGACATCCTGTACTCAATGTTGCAGACCCTGACAGATGAGCTGGCCCAGGCCAGGGATGAAAACAAGAGAACCCACAACGACATGATCCACACAGAGAACATGCGACAGGGACGTGACAAGTACAAGACGCTGAGGCAGATTCGACAGGGCAACACCAAGCAGAGAATCGATGAATTTGAGGCCATGTAAGCGCACTTTACAGCCAAGAAGGCAAGACTATGGGAAAGGCAGATCTTCACATACGATCTGCCTTTTCTGAGGGGTCACTGTATAACATCTAAATATATATAAATATCAAATGCTCTAAACCTAGCTTATCCTCCAGTTTTTACTATTAAAATGTGGTGACTGCCCATTAAGTCCGTCAGCCAAGCAATTCTGATAACTTTTGCTCATTCATATCCTAGTGCCAAAAGGCCTATAAGTCACGTCCATTTTTTTTCAAGCAGGGTTTATTTTAATACTACGTCTTTCTATCCATAAAGATATTATGCTGTGATAGGTGGTACATCTGGATTCAGCTTTTTAAATAAAAACACAATGCTGTGGGTGAATTTTGTGCCATATATCTTTACATTCTTTACATACAGCATATAACCCGACTAATTCTACATTATGCTTTGTCAGCAAAGACTTGCAGGCCCTTGTTTATAATTTTACAAAATGGTACCAGCAACCATCTGGAAATCTGTTATTTCTACGTACGATAAGTGTGAGGGGTCTTTTTTGTTGCTCTATTCAACTGGAGAAATTCCTGCAGTGATCACTCAGACGAAATGCAGTATAGGAACACTCTTTGATACCCTCCTTGCATAGGTAGGCAAATATTCTGTTGGACTCATACACTTGTTGATGTGTTATATACTCCATCTTAATTAATGATCAGCTGTAGTGTAGTATTTATATATAAATATAAGTGATAAATATGGATTGTAACACTAGTTTAAAAAGGGGGAAAGTTTTTGCTCTGTATATTTTGTTACCTTTTTCAGATTTAGTATTAAAATAAATTGCATATGTAAAAAATTTTGCCTAAACAATATGCTGTCTGTGCTACAGAAGCAGTGTAAAACTGATTACTTGCTATAAAACATTATTTGTAAAATGATTTTTTTACTTCAAATAAAATTGTTATATGCACGATTCAGTATATACAATCTTACTGCACCTATTTTTTCTAACAAATTTTCTAATTTTTTTAAATATTTGATTTAATAATATTTCAGACTCCAACTATGAAGGGATTGTTTGTTTATATCCCCCTCTTATTCTGTCCATGAAAAGAGCATTTGTAGACTTCCTGTTACCTCCACCCCCATCTTTGAAAATTTGTTAGAATGTCAGTGTGTTGGTTCTGCTCCTCCATTTACAACTCCAATGCTGCTTTATACTGTTAACGTTAAACCTTTATATCAAGGTGTTGTGGGTTTTTCACAACACATGAATATGAATAAAAGATCTGCAAGATAACAAAGGATTTGAAGTTGTGTTTTGTGTTGTGTGGGGTGTTTAATCCCAGCAGAGCAGTGCTGTATGTATGCTAAAACTACAGTGCAGCTCTACATTTCTCACTTTGGAAATATGAACTCTTACATTTGCGGCTTCACAGTGAAATGTCCTTGGAGAAAAACACTTTCTCTTTTAGTGAGGGTGTGGGAAGAGGAAGACAACTGCTTTTTGCAGTAATCTGTGATCGGGGGGCAGGGGTGAAAGGGATGAGACCTTTCAGATAGAGCATTCTCCCCACTTCAGAGAAGATGCATCCTCCAGGAAACTGGTACTTTTCTTGATCTTAGACTGCCTCTACACTGGGAAAACTTCACACACCAAATTGCTATTTGTAGGCTTGCTTTCTGCAGTCAGACTTGCTGAGGCTAACACAGCAGTAAAGATGACTTCAGCCACAAGAGCCTCACCTGTCTAAGCCTCCCACTGGTACTTACAAAATTTGCACCACTTCAGATGAAGACATGTAACCAAAGGCAGACAAGGCTTTGGCCAAAAGGCTGACCTATGAGTTCTCCAGTGTGCTGCCACTCAATCAGGAGTGGGTTGTGAGGAGCACCCCATTTGCTGAGAGCAAGAAAATTGCTGCATCACTAACAGCATGCTCACTCCCCTCCTGCAGCTGCCTTTGTCCAGTCTTAGGGCAGCTTCTCAGCATGCCCCAGAGCGTGGCTCTGTGATAGAAGTGACATTCTGCAGCCCTCCTGAACTGGCTCTACAGCTTCGAGCACTTCCCAGCCTCTGGGGCTAAGAGCTCTGTCGTTGGGGAGACAAGAAAGTAACTAACAGCAACCCCCACACCATTTACAAACCTCCACCCCACATTCCCATAGCCTGGAGCAGGTGTTTCCAAACAGTGATCCATGGACCATCAGTATTCCACAGATTGCTTGCTGGTGGTCTGCAGAGAGCTGGCTGCCCGCCAGCTAACTTGCATTAAAAGATAGTGTGCTTTCCTTCTTGTTAGCTACTGCTGTAGTTGCTACAAGGATGGGCAGTTGTTAATGACCCCATCTTTATTAAAACATGGCCACACTATGGGGGAAAAACTAAATCTCTGCTCTAGAATATTTGGTCTTGAGTCAGACTCCCTTAACATGCATATCCCATTGTCCTTTCTGTACTGAGTGCCAAACTCTCTTGCAGTCCCAAGATATCAAAGTGACTAACATCTGGAAGGATACCTTATGCTCTCTCCCTCCAGCAGTCTCCTTCTTGACATCTTTTTGCTTTTCTTTTGGTAACTGTACTGAAAACAACTTGCAAGCCAGAATCCATCAATGCTTCAGGTGTCATGGTTTCCTAAGGCAATGTGAAGAAGTTTCACCTGTACTCAAACAGATGGCCTTTGACCATAGTAACATTTTTGGCATCAAGTGTTGAAGCAACTCAGCAACTATTGCTTCTCCTTTTGTAATATTATAACAATGCATCATTTAATCCCCAAACCACATTTGAGCTGGCTGCCACTGATAAATGTCTTACCAGAGCTGCTCATGATGAAAAATCACCCACAGGATTTTTTTAATTAAATGCTCCTGGAGTGTAACAGTTTAATATTTTATTAGTTTTGTAATGATTCTAATTACACAGTTCTGTTTTACGTATAGATACAAGTGGCTTAGGTGTGGAGAGCTCTTTTCAAAGGATATGTTTCTTTCCAGAAGGTAGAAATGACCAGAGAGCATGCCGTGGTGCTTAACCTTGAGTACAATGCTTGGGCAATACTTTCCTTTCCAACTGCTCACACGTGGAAGATATGCTTGTCACAAGGGTGCTATTAGGACTTAAGTGTCCGTATTTGAATGCAGCGTAAGTGTAATATCTATCCAAGTGTTTGGGCTGCTGAGTATTTTCTGCCACTGACGTTTTGATTGGGGGTCTGAATCCCAGGTGCCAGCTGGTTCTTCTACAGGAAAGTTGAAACAAAAGGGTAAGGCTAGGTGTACATGAGCATTTCTGCCCTAACATAGAATCTCTGTTCTCCATTATTTCTTCTAATGCTTTGTCTCATTATGTAACGCCATCCTTAGATCCACGAGTGTCAAACTATTTAATTCAGTACAGTGAAGACACTATGTATTCTGCAGCAATCTGGATTTAAATTCTGCATTCAGGACCCTGATTGCTGCGGCGGCTCCATTTAAACAGAAGTATATTGATATAAATATGGGAAATTAAAATCAGCACAGCCATGGTTGGGTTTATTAAACAATTTATCTGATTGTAGCACTCTACTGTATCACAGAAACTGTCGGTGAGGAAGCAGGCTAGGGCAGTGGCTGTCAACCTTTCCTGACTACTGTACCTCTTTCAAGAGTCTGTCTTGCATACCCCAAGTTTCACCTCACTTAAAAACTTGCTTACAAAATCAAAGATACTGTCACAGCACACTTACTGAAAAATTGCTTACTTTCTCATTTTTACCATATAATTATAAATCAATTGGAACATAAATATTGTACCTACATTTTGGCGTATACTATATAGAGAAGTATAAACAAGTAATTGTCCGAAATTTGTTTGTACTGACTTTGCTAGTGCTTTTTACGTAGCCTGTTGTAAAAGTAGGCAAATATCTAGATGACAATGTAGCCTTGGGAAGACCTTTGTGTACCCCTGGTTGAGAACCACTGAGCTAGGGTGTTTGAGCTTCTGGTACCCAGGAAGGCAGATTAGAATAAGTACTCTACCTAGGTGCTTCTGCTAAAATAATCAGCAGTGAAATAATTAGGAATGGATATGTACTGTCACTTATTTTCAGAGTCCCCGACTCAGCGATGGAGCTGTTAAGTTAGGAGAGCAGGCATTGGCTTACATGCAGCTCATATTTTTAACCATGAAGCTTACAGATCAGTTTTAAAGGAAGAGGTGCCTTCTGCAACAAATTCCATGGCTAGAGAATTATATTGCACTGTCCTATTCCTTAGCAGAAGAATCACCGGTCTCTTGTCTTAAAATCTACTTCAAAGCATGAGACCCTTTTGGTACAATTGCTCTGAGTGGTGCTCTGAGAGCAGGCCTCCACTACTCTGCATTGGAGTGAACTTACACTCAGTCGCATGCTGGTGCTGTATTTGGTGACAAAATGGAAATACAGCAGCTGTGTGAGATGCACAGAAAAGCAGTTGAGCAGATTAACTGTTTTTCAGCTTGCACAGCGTGTCTGGCAGATGGGCAAACAAGACTTACAGGTGTGGCTACACAGCAGCTGGAGGTGTGCTTTGCAGCATGGGTAGACAGCCATGTGCTAGTTCTGCTCAAGCCAGCACACTACAACTAGCAATGTGGGTGTGGTTGCATGTGCCGCAGCTCAAGCTAGTCACCCGCGTCCAAACCTGCCCAACCCTTAGGTATGTGCTCACATGACTGGCCCAAGCCTGCTACATACACCACCCCAGCCCCTCTACAATTTTTAGCACCTTAGCTGGAGCAGAGCAAGTCTTTGTTTGCCTTGCTGTGCTAGGAAGCCCATTCCTAGCTGCCCCGTAGACATACCCTAGAGCTCACTGAACAAAGCCAATGAGGCTGAGCCTTTGCCAGATGAACTCATCCCCATAGGAAAAGTCGAAGTAGGTGAACTTGAGGCACCTTTGACTGCAGTGGAGCAGAGGCGCATAGCAAGGTTATTCAAAGGGCCTAGCTAGGTGGAAAGAGAGAGAGCATATATGACAGAGGCTTACTTATCATTAAGGCTGGCAGGCAAGATGATAAAAGCTAGGTTAGCCAATGCTAACACTACGACTTGGGCCTATATTAACCTTTAGAAAACTGTCCAGTTGCCCCTGAGGAATTCGCTGCAGCACCAGCACCTGCCCCTTGCCCCAGAAGCTAAGATTTCATTCAATAAAGAGATGTTTGGAGCCTTGGTAGTTAAGAAAAACTTAAAAATATGAATATAAACTGGTGTAGGGCTGCCTGCCTGAGCTGGCAGCGAGCCTGAAATGCTGCTCACTCCCTTGAGCTAAATGGGAAGTTTTCACATTGTGTCAGCAAGTTGAACTCTGAAGCCTACTGATGAGGATTTAAATCTGGCCACTTAATCATTTCTCTGCCAGTTATTTTAAGGGAATCTGCCACAAAACCAAACCATGGCCCTTGCCTTCCTGGGGGCCTGACCCTCCAATTTCCCTCAACCA